GAGCATTATAAAAGAAAGATTGGAAGGAAAAATGCTATTGTACTAATACGGTCGGGACACGAGAAAACTACTATCGAAAACTTAGAAAATGCACAAGAACAACAAAGAATTCTATATAGAACGATGTCGAAAGATGTCACTACTAACCAAATACTAACTTAAAAAGGTTTGCGGTCTGAAAGACAGGTTCAAGGATTTATGGTTATTATTTTAAGAAATTAAAGGCCTCTGATACATTTTTGACCCACATTTATCTAAAGTTTACTAAAATGATGAACTTCATGGAAAGAAGTACATACAAAATTGCAGTATTTTAGGAAATTAGTTCATTAACGAAGCATGGCGTTTCGGTGTTTTAGAAATGGCGGAAGTACCCTTTAATGAAATGAAAACTCCTTATTAAACTGAAAAACTTTTTTAAAGCCAGACACAGTAAGAGGGTACCAACAAACTCTTGGAGCGGATTATTAAGAAACTTTTTTTTCTGTATTTTTAAAACAATATTTCGGCTCTAATCGTGATATCTGAAGGAGCAAAAGAGGAGGAGCGATTAGTTTATTGCCCCGTAGAGTGAGGTTTATATGTTTTCAGGAAAAAAAATATAATCTGTAGAACATGTACGAAACACGTGCGACGACAGAATTAGGTGGTGTGATGTGTTATAGCTACACATGGTAAAAGCACGTGTTTTATCAGAGTTAACTCCAACAATATCCAACATTGGTAATATTCCTATACAATCAGGCGATATAACTTAACTACTGCTTTTCATCATGCAAAGTTACAAAAATACGTCTATGTCCATTTCTACATAGGTTATACTTAGACATGAGCAAGCTGCATCCAAACCGAAGAGACTTACTAGATGGTCACTACCAGAAGTAACAGCTTTTATACGGCTTAAAAGTTTCTGCAAAACTATTTTATAATGATTCATCATCAAGCTTAAAAAGGTAAGAATATACTTAGAGCAATATGACGAGTGCATTTCCATTTAAAATTTTCGGTGCATGTGTTGGTATATGTGTAGACGGCTGGTATTATAATTGGAAAACACACAATATTAAAGTTTACAACAAACTTGAAATGTAAGAGATTAATATACTAAACTATAAAGATGATCGAGTCTTAAACTAAACCGGAATTATTAAACAACTTGGATCTAAATTTCTTAGTGGCCAACACACAAAAACTGAAAGTATTAATTCCTACCAGCATTAATCTGAAAATTTATTTAAAAGGCAAATTAAGTCTTATATACTGCAGTTTAGTTGGATAGTTATTTAACATCGCTGATAGCACACGGCCGGTTATCACATACACAACTTTGATGTTGGAAAAGTTTTCGCACCTGCAGTGGTGAAAAGAACACTAAGTATCTTACCTACACCAAAGTGCCCTCACTAACCTCAAAACCCGAGCTATATTTACTGTTATATACAAATAGAATGCTACTGCGATACCTAATGCGCTGACCTTTACGACCTTGGAACCTTAATGGGCTATAGTATACTTATTAATCGCAGCCCTGCCTAATGGTCTTCCTATCTTGATAAAACTGAAATTAACAAATCAACCTGTGAAACTGAATACCTTGACCTAAGTAAGGCTTTATTAAACACCATTGCTATAAAATATAATTAACGAACTTCTCCCTAACTTTAATATTAATATAAAAAAATACTGGTAATGATGACGCCAAGGAATTACTGAAAGACACTGATAGTACTTAGCACTATGTTAGACGAAAAAAATTGTTTGTTCGAACACATTACTTGGCAATAAATATAACTGCATGTTTACGAAGCCAGTGTCAATACATAAACATGGGAGTCGATACATAAATATATAAAGTAATAAATAACATGCAGTTATAATATCCTTAACGGTTATGAAGTGCCCGGCACATTCTATACTCTCAGTATATCAAGAACGTTCCGGAATAATAAGGTAAAATATAAAAACAAAGAAAATTTTAACTAAATAGATTAGCCCTCGTCCCCTTTTTAAGTTCTTCCTTTGTTATATTCTATTATTCTATACTCTCAGTATATCAAGAACGTTCCGGAATAATAAGGTAAAATATAAAAACAAAGAAAATTTTAACTAAATAGATTAGCCTTCGTCCCCTTTTTAAGTTCTTCCTTTGTTATATTCTATTAATATCTAATAATGTATATATAATTGGAGTAATTGTATCCTTTTAAAGGTATCTATTATTAAAAATTACACACACGTAAACAATAAACTACACAGGGATAATAATTAAAAGATAAACCAATTGAAAATATCATAAACACTTAAAATAAACGCATTCTTAAACAGTTTGGCAGGAACTTTGTTAAACAATTATTATTATTACAATTATGAATTAATTTCTCTAACGTTCCTTTTAAGCGGAATCAAATTAAACATATTTAATCCAAGAATTTTACATTTAATCTTTACAAATATACATAAATGGAAATGCTTTCTAAACCTTTTTTGTAAAGGTATGAACGGCTTGATTGTCCAATGCATGAAAATTTTATGAATTGCGTTTTTAGCGCTTAAACAAGTACCTAAGGCTTTTAAACTCGGGGTGAAAAAAAGCTGATTCTGCTACTTTCTTCATATAAAGCGCCTACCGCATATTTACTCCTTAAGTTACTTTTGCTTCTACATCCAAGTTCTGGGTTCTGTCTCTTTCTCCGGTCTTTTCTTAAGTTCTATTTCTGCCTATCCACAGCTTTGATATAGTTGTGCATTAGCTCCACCCTTGCCGTAAGATCTAAGCTCTGTTAACTACTACTGTTCAATGTTAATTAGTTTACTTTTTGTTTATTTCTAAATATATTTTAACTCTTAAAAGTTCACCTTTGGGGACTTATTATCGTCAGAGGGCCTTATGATCTCCAGGATCGTGAAAGATTGCCTATAATATAATAACTTAACCACTACCCAAACACAAAATTCCCCAAAGTATTTTCACGGGGACTTCCACTTTGGCATGACACTACTACGTGAATTAATTATCTTTTTTGTTCTCGTCTTCTCGGTTGTCAGTGCTATTATATATAGCTTGTCGACTTTAATAAAGTCAACCTCTGTTTCATTATTGCTTCTATCCTTTTAGCTGTGTTTTGCTTACCTACTTGGAAAGTGCTGAAAATAGCATTAAACGGCGTACTAGACTGGATGTTTAATATATGAAGCAAAAGCTAAAATTAGGATAATAGCCCTTAGGAAAAACCTCAGTATAAGAATACAAAATTTTTAGTAACCGCCTTCAAAGACCGGAATCTACCCCCACGCCAAGCTAAATTGAGTGAAGTTATTTCATTTATATTTAGAAGAAAAACGTTCGTTGAAATCTACTAACATAGTACGCGATTGCCAAAAGAATGAAGATTGTGACCTTAAATCGTATACAAATCTAATAAACTTTGCATGGTTAATATAATGAATTTTCATTGCGTTTTATTAAAACAAGAAATTACATAACATATAGCCAACACTATGATTTACAAATCCGGCTAATACTTTAGATTATTTCATGTTTCACTTTAAAAAAATAAAAGTGAGCGCTTCGATTTTTCTAATTAAGTTATTCCTCTCTCTCGTTATTTTTGTTTTATTTATTGTTATTAGTATTTTGTCTTTTGATATATATATGTATGTTCATATATTTTCTCTAGTTTTAATAAAAATCTTCTCAAATGCCGACTCAAATGACAGGAGTTCATAAAGCTCTCTCCATTTTAGTAAATACGTAATGTATTAATGAACATATTACATTCTGTACATAGTTACTTAATTGCCATATTAGTTATTAACATATTTTACAACCATATGGTAACTTGAAGCCCAGTTCTTTAAAATAGCATAAAAAGCTGTTATATTCATTAAGTGCCTTCAGTGTGTAACCTTTTAGTCTTTCCCAGCCTCCTTAAATTTTGAGCTCCGTTTTGTTTTTTCTGTTCTAATTCTCCTAATTTATATATATTTGGTCTAATTTTCTCCATGGTTGGCCATTTTGTATCCTCATAGAACTCTACGAGCTTTAATACTAAAATTAATGTGCAATATAAACTTGCTTGTTTTTTTTTTGGGATGTAAGTATATGTTTGTATCAATCGAGTTTCTTTATTTAAAGCTTACCAATATAGTTCGTGAAGCATTCTTAAAAGATTGTGACGGCAAAATGTTTAACATATTCGTGTATATTTCAACACTTTCCTTGTGCGCAATAGTCTACAATATTCTTATTAAGCCAATTTTTAATGACAGTCGCTAACAACCAGCTGCTATAACTTTCAAAATATAATACTCGTTATTCTAAAGACAAAAAAAATACAGGTTATTTTAATTTAGTTTTTGTTGCATAGGACGCAGTAAGTTGCACCCAATATATACTACCACGTTCTCGAGGCAAACAGGAACGAAATTTAAAGGGAAAAGGATACTTACAATCTACCGGGTAAGTATTCGAGTTAATTCTAAATATATTTAATTTGCTCTCTAATAGGTACAACCTGATAGACCACCACGTGGTTTGCCAGTGGGAAAAATAAAATGCTAGTTCTTCTTGCCAGGGTTAGAGGGCTTGATAGGTGCCGGCCAGCTCTCTAAATGTAAAAAGGGCTATTCGCACTACATCGGAGTTTTTATAATTGTAAACAAAATAGTTGTCCCGGTATTATGGTTTATTTTAGTTACTATTATAGTTTTTTCTTCATTTAATACGCTTCACTTTTGTGTTTTTTTTATATTTTTAATTACATGTCCACTGAAGATTTTATTAGTTCTGAATTAGCTCAGTTAACCGCTTTTGAGAAAAATTTATTTGACGATCTTAATAAAAGTGTAACTAATACTGTCACCCCATTCAATCACTGCAACAACGATAGCAATAGTAACAATAATATTAATAACACAGAATGTGAATTAAAAGTCTCACTTGCAAATATATTATGTGATCATTGTGGTAAAGTAACTTGTAGATGTAACATAAGCTCAAGCTTAAGCGCCCAAGATAAATTTATAAAAGAATCAAAAGAATCAATTCAAATAACCGATAATTCAAGTAGCAGTAGGCTGAATAATGATATTTCTTCTCAACCACCTACTAAACGGCTATTAGAAACTCGTTATCTAAATTCTGTACTTTTTTTAAAATATTTTATATTATTAGTAGGAAGACTAAGGTATTTTTATATGAAGAACATGGATCGATATGTCACTGTAACTCAATCCTTTAACTCTTTGGAAAGTTTAAAGCCTTTAATTCCGTTTAACTATGAAACTCAAGGGTTTTTGATCAACTTTATATATTCTTTTTTTGCTAGGTAAATATCTTACTACCTCGGTTATTTTTTTTTTTTTTTTTTAGAAAATGGATTTATCCGATCAATCTTCCGGAGCGCAGCTATCAGTTTAATATTGTTAAAAATTGCTTATTGCATAACACTTTAGTTGCCTTGCCAACCGGTTTGGGAAAAACCTTTATTGCTGCTGCTGTTATGTTAAATTACAAAAGGTCCTTTCAAAAAATAAAGTTTATACGCCCCCTTCCCTTCTTCATATGTTTAGTTAAATAATATTATGCACTTTTTATTATAAGGTGGTTTCCAAACGGCTTGGTAATTTTTATGGCACCTACGCGCCCACTTGTTACACAGCAGATCGAAGCCTGCCGTAAAATAGCAGGAATTCCTCAGGATGTTTTAGTGGAAATGACCGGTATTACACATTTATTTAATTTGTAAAATGCTAACGCAACTTGCTGTGGAGGTCTTCATTCTCAAAGCTTGCGTGATGTAAAGTGGAAGGATGCCTCCGTGGTGTTTTTGACCCCACAAATTCTCGCTAATGATCTGAGAAGAGGAGCCGTTGATCCACTTAAAATTGTTTGTCTTGTCATTGATGAGGCACACAAAGCAACAGGAAACCACGCTTATGTTGCAGTAGTGCGCCAGTTAAGGCTCTCTCAAGCGCGGTACCATTTTTGAAGAGGATTACTTTATAAGTTTAGTATACCAATTTCGTGGTAGCTACCGTCTTGTTGCTCTTAGCGCCACACCGGGCGATAGCGAAGCCGCCGGTGCTCGTTTTTATAATACAAAAAACTTATTAACAATTACCATTTATCTACACTCTTTGCAGTCATCAAATTGATAAGTAATCTTGAAATTTCGCATCTTGAGTTGAGGACAGAGGAAAGCGCTGACGTTAAACCTTATCTTCCTGGAAGACATATGGTATGATTTAGGTTTTTTTTTACCTTCAAAGTTAGTAACTCGCTTGTTTGCTTATTAAGCAGAGCAGTGGCTATGGCCTCTTTTCTTTTTAAAGGACTAACCTTTCCTTGTAGGAACTAATAGTGGTAGATAGCGGCTCTCAGATTCGCGACTTGAAAAGTAAGTTTTCAGAAGTTTTAGGGAAGTCACTGGACTTCCTCGTAAACACTGGGGCTTACTGGGAGAGAAAACCCGAAAAAGTGCGTATATAAAAATAGAAAAGCTTTAAGTTGCCAATTTGATGATTGCGTTTGCTTGCTTATTCAGGTGTCAAAGTATCTGCTTCTTCGAGCGAGAGAAACTTTTCATAGGAAGTATCCCAGAGGTACACATCCTTCCTCAGGTATTCAAAAAAAATTATCATTACTACTGTGTTATTCTTATTGGATATCTAAGCCGCCATCCTTTTGAACTTTTACCTTGCTATCAGCCTCAGTCACGCATATCATTTGCTTGACCGCAACGGCTGCCAAGTTTGTTTTAACTATTTAAAAAAAATTACTACATCCGGTAGCCCAGCTAGTCGTGCAACTCTTCTAAAAAGTGTGGAATTTCGCACTTTTATGTCCGACCTGCAATTATGCTGCGAATCTGGGGAGAATATTCAAAAAGTCCATCCTAAGCTGCACAAACTTTTGGAGGTGAATAATGTTGAGTTTTTCTCTTTTAAAAGTTTACTTACTGGCTTCATTATTTAATTAAGATTACTCTTAAGCACTTCCATCAATGCCAAGAAGATACGCGTGTGATGATCTTTTCCCATTTTAGAGAAAGCGTTTTAGAGATAGTAAATTACCTACGAAGCGCAGGTAGCAACCGTTTAAAAGTATGGCCTTCTTAAGTGATACAATTTTACGCGTGGTTCTACCCGCTCCTTCTTCTTGCTAATCTTTTAGGTTCAAGGGTTTATAGGGCAAGCTTCAGGAAGAGATTTTACAGGTCTTTCTCAAAAGCAGCAGCTATCCATTCTTGAGGATTTTAGGAGAGGAGACTGTAATGTTCTGGTGGCCACCTGTATTGGCGAGGAGGGACTGGACATAGGAGTACTTATATGCCTTTTGCATTGTTGAGTTACAGAGCTTAGATCCCCCTTTTTGCTGCAGCACGTCGATCTTGTTATCTGTTTTGACGCCCATGCCTCTCCCACGCGCTTGATTCAGCGAATGGGCCGGTGCGGCCGAAAGAAAAAGGTTCGTCGCTTCTTGTCGCCTAGTTTAAAGCTGTCCTAACTGCCAATCACAGGGTCGGATCGTTACACTTGTTTGTAAAGGTCAGGAACATGAAAACTTCAAGAAGAGTGTCAAAGCACAGGATGTTCTTTTTCAAAGTTTTATGCTTTTCATTATGCGGTATATATTGTATTAAGTAGCTATGGTTACTGCGTCCCTTCGTTACTGTTTCCTGGCATCGGCTCGCATGTTATTTATCTTCTGAACTTTTCAGGTATATCTAGGAATTCCCCGAAGTATCCTTTTTTTGCGGAAAACTCCGCTATGGTCCCTGCAGGTGTAGAGCTTTGTGTGGAAAGAAAACACATCGTCGTTGAAAGCCTTGATGCTGAGCTGCACTCAAATAGTATTATTTTAACGTTACGCATGGCCTTTACCTTCAATACTCGCCTTACTAATTTTGTTAGGCCCTTTGCTGTCGTCCTTTCAAAAGCAGGAACTTGCCTCTTTTTTTTCCGAAGGTTTGTTGAAATTATTAGGCTCATAAAACTTTTTGTTATATTTAGCAGCAGTTAGTGATTTCAATACTGAGGAGCACCTGGCGCTATGGACTGGCTTTCAAACAGTTTTAAGCAAGTTTAAATTTGTTAAGCACTCAGTGTTATGCAAGGCCTATGTCAAGTACTTCTTCATACTCCTCTATCCCTTTAAAGAGATTATTTCTATTTTTTTCACTCTTGCAGTTTTATATCGACCATAGAGCACGGCTTTCCTTTCCCTTTTCTAGATCTACCGTGCTTGGCTGAAGTTGTGGAATATATATATTAGCATCGTTTATTTATATTCTATTTTTCGTAACAAGGTAGCACCATACTTGACGGGTTCAACTAAGGGCGCTTCTCTATTGGAAACTTCCGATAGTGACAGCGATATTATAGGCAACACCCTTACGGGCCTGGGGCTCTCCAGGGTTGCTGAAACTTCTTGCCTGGATTCTCAGGGCTCTTCTCGAGACTCCTCGGAAACCCTCGAGCCCTTCGATAGTCCACTAAAACCTGCTCTAATCCGGCCCACCAGTCCCTTAGCGAAATCATTGAATGACAGCTTCGGCATTGATTGGGATAATGTTGAAGTCAATATCATTAAAAACGTTTCTACTTATTTTTTAACACACTATTAAATTAAACTTATAAACAATCTATATTAAGTTTGACAGCGGCAGCAACTACATAAGTGACCATGACGCTAATGATTTTAGCATTAGTAATAATAGTAATACTAATACTAATAATTGTTATGATATCAACAATAACCTTAACAATTGTAATAGTATTAGCAATGTTAATAGTAATAGTAATAGTAATGAAAGTTATGGTAATATTTGTAATGGTAATAAGGATAACAGTGATAATAGTAATAGTAATAATGATAATTATAGTAATAACAATAATTATAGTAATAACGGTATAGCACACGGGCCTCCTATCTCTCTATTCTTGCATTCACCCTCACTTTCTAACTCTTCTCATCCGGTCAACCCACTTTTTGCATCCACCCCAGGAGAACTATCAGTCAGCAATAAAATTAACTATAGCCACGGTGTATGTGGTGATATTGAAACTATCGCAGCGAGTCCCATTGACAATTTTGGGTTGAAGAATGGGCAGACGAATGAAACGCCTTTTCCAGTTATAAAAAAGGTTACATGCTTTATAAGATGTTAACTGTTGGTTTTCCAGTGTATACCATAGTTTAACTATTGTAACGGGTATAAAACAACTTTAACCGTTAAAAGGTGTTTTTTACTAGGCTCGTCGTCGATTTATAGTTGACTCGCCCGTTGGCCTCTCCATTGTAAGGAAGAAAAGTATGCTTCATGCTCAAAGGACTTTTCACACAGCGAGGAGAACTTTATTTAAGAATGCTCGAGACAAAGCTTCATATAAAAGAAATAAGGTTATGTTCTCCTCCATAGTTTACACCTAAGCGTACATATCTAACGTTAATTTTTTTATAGAACACCTCCAATATAGAACATCGTCTCAATATTCTCCAAGGTGCTTCTGTTTTTTCTTTAAACGCACAACTCAAGTGCCGTATTGAATTTTATGCCAAATAGAATTGACTGTTTTGGATGACATGGCCGAGCTCTCTGATTGCGAAGGAAAACTTTCTGAAAATACTGATAATTTCGAGGTGGAAGTCTTCTTATTTTTATGTTAATTTGCTTTTGTTCACTTGACCACTTGTGGTTACTGTGTTAATTTAGTACCCTATTAAGGAGTTTGTCATTTACGAACTTATTAGTTCACGAGTGTATTTACGGGTAGAATGCCACATTGGAAGCACATTTGTTAAATTCCATATTCTTAATATTGTTATATTCGGCTATCATATAGGAGAACAGACCGGAGTCCACAAAGGACGACAGCTTTATTGCAAGCTCTTGCTCTCTAGAAAATCCTGAACAAGACTTGTCGTTTTATTTAATACAAGTACGCTATTTATAAAGTTAAGGACGATATTCGCCTTATCCCTATCCGAGCGTAGCCTTGCCTTGAGCTGTGTGCTTTCATAACCGCTAGTAGCTATTTTTATAATGCTTTCATAATGAACAAGTTTTCATTGACAGCGTAACGCACCAACCTGGACACCCATTCGGCCTATTGTAACTTCTGAAAACTTTGAAGGTTATTGAAGCTTTTATACGTGCTTTTCTCCATCTGATGCTCCTAAATATAAGACACGCCCACTGCAATATCCGCTAATTCTCTGGATAAGTATGACTCGGACTTCATCTGTGATGACCCATTAACTGGTATATTTAGTAACTAGTTTCATTTTTTATTAATTAACTTTATTTTTGCACAGAGGATGTAGAAACAGGAGACGAGGGTTGGGCCACTAATCTTTCTTTGCAAAATAAATTTAAAAAAAAAACTGAACGAAGAGAACTTCTCAATCAAATTCGCTCTAAGTATAATTAGATAGAAGGCAATACATAGATTACAAAAACCTTCTTAAGCTGATATTACTGGTATCACTAACCGTGTAGACCACCCGGACTTTGCAAAAAAGGAATAAAATATTTGGAAATAAAAACTTCACTTGTTCGCAACTTAAAGGCTGTGTAATAATGTTACGTATTTTCTTAAAGAGAATTATGTTTTACAAACGTAAAAATTAGAATGCCAAATAAGTTAAAAGCACTGTCAGCTTAGATTATAAAATTAAGAGTTCTAATTCTGTTTTTTTCTATATAACAGGAGCTTGTGTAGTGATAGAGAGTAAAAAAAATTAACTGCTTTGTTATGCTTACCCTGTATTCATTTAAGGGCAGGCTTACATATAACATTACTATTATACTAGTTTTTAACTTATTCACTTACCTTGTTTCAAGTGGCTTACAGGTAATGAATTAGTAGTTTCCGGAGAGATTAGCGCCAATTCAGTTTTAAAAATTTCAGTTAAAAATGGCCAAGAAAAAGGATTAAAAAAATTATAAATTATCAAACTTAAACCTCGTAGAGAGCACCCTTTGAAGTAGTAAGAATATTTGGAAAAGGTCTCACTAAAAATTTTGTTTTAAAAAGGTCATTGAGAACTTCTACATACAATTATTTTTTAAAACTATGAGTAGCGTCCAAAAGCACAAGCAGATAACGCACGCTCAAGCGTACGTACTAGCCCCTAGGGGCTTTGAGAAACAAAGCCTTGAAACTTATTGGTAATAGGTTTATAACTTGAAACCTACCGCTTTTTGCAAAAAATAAATCTATTTTAAAAGATCAAATAAAAAAGATAATCAAAAAAAATTGGACATCGTTAGATATGACCTTTTCCCATCTTTTTGGTAAAGCGGAACCCTCCTTCGAAAGTACATCTCCTCTTTGGAGGCTATCCCTTCAGAGATCCAATTATCGACACTGCGCTGTATATAGAGATGTACTAATAAGTAACATTATTTGCCTCTACAGCAACTTCGTAAGTAGCTAGGCCTTTCCATCACTATTAAGGCAACACAGGCACAGGTACACGAGATAAACTCTACAATGGCATTACAAGTACTACTTTCCAACTTATCACCCAGTGTCCAACTTAGGCTGGTATCATATCATACTAATGACCAGAAACGGGGCATAGTGTTATCCGTCAGCGCTCATTACTCGTTCAGTCCTTTCGTTTGTGTTCGACTTTGCTGCTTACACGGGAAAGAAGCTTCGAAGATCAACTTTGAGAGTATCGTCAATCTTTCACCAAAGGCTCTCTTTAAATACCTTTAAGAAGAGTAACTTCTACAAGCAATGCCCGTATACATAGAGCAAGCTCTCGAATAACATAGTTCACGATTAAAGAGTCTATCGCTATGCTCTTTTTTAAAGCAAGTAGAGACAATCATGAGAGCGAGCCTGCTTTCGTGAGTGAGCATAAAGGGCCAGGCCAAGATATACTACTCACCATATTGGATCGCCCTATGACACAGGAACTTTAGCACTTGCCAAAGGACTAAAACCGACCCACAGATTTTATCGTTATTAAGTATATATATTAGTACAAGGTATTTAGTTTATTAAAGTACCTCATTTAACTCTCAGGAGTATTATATCACTCTCGACTCAAAGGCTTCTATAAGGAAGGTAACATAATTACGATTCTTCGGTTCATAAATAGGCGCTAACTTTGCTATTTGTATCGGAAATGAGGCCAGATATCAAGTCGAAGACTAGCCATTACTTGCATAAAGGAAACGCACAGCATAGGGCCTACTGTCTTCTCACCGATGAAGACTCCGAAAATGTTTTTTAGTAAGGGCGTGTGCCATTAACCGAAACAAGTGTACACAGTTTGGTAAATAAACCGCTTGGGGTAGCATTTCCTTGAGAAATGTTGTCTCCCTTACAGTTTTGATGACGTGTAATCGAGGGTTATCGCAAAACATAACTACCTTATGCTGTCTGGTTTCACTCTGGTCGTCTTTCACACAATGCTTGGCTTAAACGGAACAATTGTTGTTGGTAGACTCCCTGTGTCCGTTTGGCTAGGTTTCAGTGTCTCATAATATCCCACATCTTTTCGGTCCCAGCGTATACAGAGCATAGCGTTCTTCCCGGCATATTGCGTTTTAACGTAGATGTCGAAGGGTGCCTTGAATCGCAAAATAGTTCCCCGGTTTTGGGATATTGAAAAAGATTCATTTTTCATCGCCAGCAACAACTCGATGTAAAAAGCCTTTTCTTTTTCGCCTGGCAAGCAAAAATTTTGGAGATGATTTTTCTCCTTTCAATATCTCTTCCATTCAGTTCATGTGGTACACATTCCCCTTCTTTAGAGGTCTTTATTACAGCTATTAGGAAATGACCATGTTAGTTTTACGTTTGTCACCAAGTTAAAAATCCGAAATAGAGTAGGGGCGTCCTTCTACGGTCATCTCGATGCTCGTAAATAATAAATATGTTAATAAGTAATTAAAAATAAACAGTTAAAAAAAAAATAATGAATATTATTAACTATATAAATAAATAAAATAATGACTGTCTTCAATGCTTGATTTGTGCTTTGTTATCTTGGCTAGAACTTAGATTACAGCGATCTAAGCTATTACCCAACATGATTCAAAGTAACTGGATTCTAGTTAGTCTTCAGGTGTGTAAATTGGACTCTTGCTGGGAGGTCTGACTGTAACACAATGAGTACACGACATTTAAGACAATTAAAACACAAGATACAAATACATTATACTGAAAACACAACACATGAAAATATGTAAACACGAACACAAATAGAAAAACAAAAATAAACATAGATTACAAAAAACATATTGTATAATACATTAAGTATAAAATACACACCATAATAAACATTTACATAAACACAAAATACAAACAACCAAAACGAAAACACAACACACTAACCCTCTAAATTTTAAACAGTAAAATTTTACCTAGTTCAACAATTTTTGTACATATATGGAATCGTATTTCGAACTTTTGTAAAGGTATAAATACAGACCAAAACTGGTCAATAAAGCGTCCTTGATTTTAATATACTTCTTTTATACATTTCGTTATTTCAAAATTTTTGATAAACTGTTAGCTTTTGTTCTAGTACGATACACCTTTTTTGGTAGAATGAGGATCAGTACAATACGCAATGCGCGTCTGCCTGGGGGCTTCGGTCTAGGATTTAATGAAAGGATGACGTTAGTAGATGAACTCCATTAATGACATAATAAAATTTGACTTTGGTCATGTCACCTATTATTTGGAATTGTCATTTGATTCCAATTCCTTTGGTGCAACCTGTCATACCTTTGGACTTGCTTGACTTGTATCCTGGCAATATCAACATATCGTAATTATGCTGCCTAGCTTTTTCGTAACTTATTTATGATGAGTCGCTTGGCCAGTGGTACGAATCGAGAGGATCTGACAAGAAGACGTTGGCAGTTTTAGTCCTAAAACAGATTCTAGCTTACCTGTGTCATTAGGTGTACATTTCTGTTTATATCATAAAAGGCCAGGCCCCTTTACGTTACTGAACCGACCTCTCACATTTTAACTGACTGACGATTCCGTAGCTGTAGGTTTAACAGTCGCTGCGGGTTACGCCTGCTGGGCTTTTTTTATATCTAATCAGGCGTACCCACCCCTATAAATAGAAAATTGGTTGGAGGGGCTAAACTATATTCCTACGGTGACTATAGGTAATCGTAGCTAATAACTAATGCCCAAGTTATGTCTGAGTCATAGAAGTGTAATAAAAATAACACTATTAATTAGAACTGCGTTACCCTTTGCGGTGAACCATGTAATTTTTAAATTAACTATATTTGCCAACATTACTGTTAAACCGGAAGCTGTCTTAAATCTGCGCTATAAAAGGTAATTTGTGATAGAGAACTAATTAATCTCCAGCATTATTTTATGTGTCATTTACCAGTAAAAATAATTATATCCCACCGCAAGCGAGAATAATGCTTGTGCGTGAGCTGTCATTTTTTTTCTCTTCTTTGTTGTAGAGTGAAATGCTCTAGGAGATTTATTATAACTAAATAATTATAAGTTTATCGATTAACCTATATTATATTACTCTATAGTCTATGATTTATTATTTGATATCTCTATTATACTACTTTAATATCTACAATACACAAGTTTTTGAGAACTTTAAACCTGTAAAATCAACACTCTGCGAACAAGTGTTACCATTAGCCAGCTCCAGTGGAGACAAATGCACGAAACGACCTTTACCAATGTTGACTTGAAATTGTCCGTTTGCAAGAGCCTCTAGACAAACAATTACGTCGCACCCGATTACTGTTCTAAGCGTACAGACGTTCCGATACAGAAAAAATAAGGAAGAGTTAGTGCAGAGTGGAAATAACGCGCCTCAACATCAACAAACATAATTTAGGGGGAGGTGCAGTAAGGCCAAACGAAGAATTTAACACTTTTATGCAAACTCTGCAGAAAATCGAGGCAGTTGATTCCTTTGCTAGCCAGTAGGGGGTTGTCTCTGTGATCGCAACTTAAAAGTTTGCCAGCGAGTCACCATCCTTTTCCGCTCTTGCCGTCTTTCTTGTGGACAGCTCCCAGGTTGTTTCGTAGAGGGAGCTCAACTGCAAACACTCTGTATAAAACAGCTGGGCTGGAAACTGGAACCGCTGATGCTGGGGACTACGATGATAAATTGGAGGGCTCGCTCTAGGCTAACCTTTTGACTCCCGCATGACATAGACTGGCAGTTCAGACATGTTAGACATATACGCCCTCTAGATATTGGCCTTTTGACGAAAATCGGCGCACTCTAGGAAATTTGTAGACCCACCCTTCTCTTCGAAAATTAGGCGAGGGAGAGAAAACAATTGAATTTCACACATTTCTTCTAAAAATGAAGTTAATTCTCTAATTTCCTTAATACGCCCCTTTAATTATGTCCAGTAGTACTATCAACGCCCACCCTATTGGTTATCGCTGTTGTGATATTTAAAGACGCTGGAATATGGCTTATATCATTACAACAGCTCTACAAGCAAAATTGGGTACCGTCCTAACCGCGAATTATGTGGACAGGCCATAATTTTTTTCGCCGAGCTTCTCGCTGCCCATAAAATGCTACCTACCCTCTGCATTTGTCGATTAAACTCTACTAAAAAAATTCGTTACTTTTAATGCTGTTGAACCGCTTAATCTGGTCACCACAAACGACCCTCAAACTTTACCGAGACTAAAAGCGCGTATTACCAACAAGACGCTGAAACGATTGTCTACGGTGGCAATGGATCATATGCGCTGCCTTACCGACTCGGCCTTGGCCCACGACACCCCTTCCAAAGCAATGGAAGACAGCGCGTACTGCAACATATACAGGCTAACTAGCCTCAAAAAAGTGACCGCTATACTGCAGCGTATAAATGTTCGCCAGAGCTCGCGTTGCCTTGTTAAAGCTCTAGTCTCGTTCCGAGTTGGGCATTCAGACTTTACAGTTCCTCCGCCTCATAGCATGAACGGGACAGTTCTCTAATTTAAAAAGGCGACTAAAGTCATCTTTATAATGCCAGGACGTCGTCCGATAGAATCTGTCATAAAGTTTTGCTCTATAAATTGAGCACCCTAACCGAGAGATGGGTGGTGTGGGTGGTGAAGGTTACCGACCAACCTCTAACAAGATTTTAAATTAATGATAATGAAAATTAAAAGCCATTTTTAATAAAAAGAGTATTCATTCAATATTCAGTCAAAAATGATTTATGAACCAATTTAAATATTTTAGATTATTTAAAAATATAATAAACTTTAAAGAACAAAACAAGAATCGCGTTGGTTAATCTAATTATTTCTCTGCCTCTTTTTTTTTGTTTTTAATTTTATTTAAAACTTTTACCTATTATTATATATTGGTCATATTTTTTTCTATAATTTTTTCTTAATTCATTAACCTCCACACGTTAGTCGCCATAAATACCTACGATATGGCTGTTCTTACCGTCGAAGTCAGGCGCTTTATTGCTTGCCGACCGTAGCGTCTTCGCTTAAAGTGCGACAGAACAGTTACTGTGCGTAATGCCAGGCGCTCTGTGATCTGTGCATATACTCTGCGAGATCTTCAGCTAGAGTGGCTGGTGCCGTCTCTCGACTTTCTGCCATAGAAACACGGCTTATAAACGAGGGAAGAGCGTACCTTTCCGCCGTCCAGTGACGTGTTTTGAACGCTAGTTATTATCAGTGGGGAGGATCAAAGATTTTTTAAGTAAACAAATAATTAATGTTTGCAACGACTTCAATTGTTGGAGAAATTCGGTATGCAAAATTTGTCGACCGCATCGTGCACCAGGGAAAGTCAATTACAGATAAATAAGGCAATTCAGTTTATATATGAGATGGCTCTCGTTTTGTGTTGCCGAGTTAAGGATGGTGTTTGAATGCAAAACGTTTATATCTTTTTTAGTAGTTAATAAGTAATAAGAATAATTAAATTTGAGATATAATTTTATATAATAAAATCCTGTAAAATGTTAAAAATTTTACAATATTTATGATACTTAAGCCAAAGATTTTTGTGCCAAAAAGTCAGGTAAGGCAAGTATCTTAACTAGAGATTCTTCCAAATATAAAATTATATACTTTGTTGATTTCACAGGCTGTAAGTCTTCGAAACTTATATATTATAGGCAGTAAAGAACAATATAAATAATATGAGTATCATATAGATAATTAAGTGATATAATATAGGAAAGTCGAAGTACGCGGGAGCACTATAAATTTATCATTATTATAGACTCTCCAAGCGTACCACACCCAACTGCACAATCAGCAAAGAAAGAAAAAGACTGCAATGGGTGCGCTAGCCAAACTTATATAAAAACATGTGCACTGCCCTTTCACATTACCCTCTTATTCTAAATAACTTTTAAAATATTATTATTTTTTTTATTAAAAAAAAAAGTTTCCCAGTCTTTCAATATGAGCTCAATTTAAGACTATATGAAAGCGTTAGATTTAGGGATAACGCAAATTGCTTATAAAAATACTTTACATGAAGAAAACTTTATAAATAGACAAAGATATTTTTATTGCAACCTTCACTCTTTTGATATATTTGTAAAATTATCAGCTTAGCTATGAATTTTTCCTTTGAGCACGAGTAAAATGCACATGTAAAGTACTATAAATATACTCACAGAGAGTAGCTTAATGACAACTCACTTTTCTTGTTCAGTTCGTCTCGTTTTGCCTCTTGGCATTTTTATTAGGCACATTACATATGTTTCTTTGGTAAACTTTAACAAAGAATATTTAAAATATTACTTTTTAACTGCTTGAACACTTTACCATTTTAAAATTTCTTAGCAACCTTTTGTTTATTTTTTAAGACAAAAGCTTTTTTTTAGCTTCCCTTAGGGGCAGACATTCCTTCAGCCGAACATTTTAATTAAGATAGTCAAACTATCATCCGCATAGTAGGATTAGGGCGTAAAACATCACACAGAGTTTGGGAACCGCCTCGGTGGGAATCAGATCCCTACTTTAGGTTTATTGGTCAGTGCCTTTAACCGTTACCGCGACAATCATTCCCAATATAGTGGGCATTTATACTTCCCCTCTTTTAAGCGCTTGTCTTATATTTTAGCAGAGATTAACTAAAATTTTAGGTATAATTTTTGATTTAGATAACTTTGATGCTCCCAACTTTCCTTGACCAGATACTAAACTTATTTTATTATAATAAGCACGCAACCAATTATTTTCTCTTCCTTTGCAGGTATTTTAAAGCACTGTTCGTTCTAAATTATTTTTGAGATGTTAACTCTTTTTTTATTTTCTATCTTCTCCTTAACTCTATTTTACGATCATAGTATCCTCGTTTCCTTCCCCATGATTTAGTTTTACGTTCGTAATTTAACCCTATGATCGTCCGTCCCTTTACTAGTAATATTAAGGGCAAGGTTATATACGCAACCGCCATGGAATGAAAAAGAGAGACGCGTCGGTGGGGATTGAGCCCCCGACGTGAAGTATACACCTCAATGCTCTTTAACCGCTGGGCTATGATAACACTGGATCTCTGTGTTATATTTGACGTATTTAACCTATGACCCTTCACCTTAACTTTTAATCTTTCTATCATTTTGTTATTCCGGTCACACATTTTCGAACATTGTAACCGCCTAGGTCATTACATCGCCAACATCTTCAAACACTGTCGCATTACCCACTGGACTTTTAAGTGCTCAATCTAATTAGATTTTTGGTATCATTCATTATTGTATTCAACCATAAAAAGAGAGGTGAAGAAAACTATAAACATGCTTGAAGTTAAATCTACTTCTTCACGGATGTTTTAAATTCAACTTAGCTCTAATATAATTTATGGAATTAACTATAATACTAATGAAAAAAAAAAAGATAGACATACATTTCGTTTTCGTTATAAAACGGAAAAGGCATTTGCAATTGCTTTACAGGCGATTAGTGTTCAACAAAAAATTTGTATACCTTAATTCTGTGAGCGAATAAAATCTTTTTAAATTAATAACAATGATGTTAAAGGGCTAGTTTTTCTTACTTTTAGTATGGTTTGTCACAAGCTTGCCATCTTTCGACAGCGAATGAAATTTATTTTAGTCATCGCAATAGACATATATAATTAATAGTTTTAACTAATTAACCAATCCGCTATTTGCTTTTTTAAGTGGCGTCTCTTATTGATATTTTTTTAGCCTTTGCAAGTTTATTTTTTGACTTTCTGGGGGAAGTTAAATATACAATAGCTTTGTTCAAGGATGTCTGCTAAAAGAAGGTCAAAGGAAAAGCTCATTCGTACTCAAATTATATCTTTAAATATGTTTAGCAGCTAATAACTTGTACCGTTTCATTTTCTATTTAGGTTCTCAGTTTGAAAGAGATTTCAATATTGCTTGGCGAAAACAGATTAATAGTGATATTGAGACAAGTTCCATTAAAATTTTAGCGGAAACAGAACGTTCGCTTGAATTAACCGCCTCGGGTAAAGTTTTATTGAAGTGTTTGCTGAAGCGCTCTGTAGTTATAACTTTCAAAAAATAGCCAGCAATTACTCGAGTATTCTATTAAAATAATAATATAATGATATTATAAATAAAAATAAATATAATAATAATAGTATATTAATAAGAAGATGACTCCTTGCCTAATAGTATTTTATATTGTCCTTCTATCATAAATTTAGGTATCGATAACTATGACGAATTTTCACACAAACTCGTAAAACCTTATTCGTCGGCTAGACGAAATGCGCTGGATTTAAGGAAACAACAATTTCGTTTATCTTTTATACTCAACTCTTTAAAAGATGGTTTTTAATTTTTAATTTCCAAACTTTTGCACTGTCCTCCTAATACTTTTTTTTGGTGGCATAGAAAGTGAAAGAAAACTCTCGGCCCCAGGTTCTTTGGATTCTCCAGAATCACTTTCAGCAATACCTCCCGTTCAGAGCCCCTCTTCTTCAAGTGTTGATGAGGGCTCAGAAGGGAGCTCGGATGATTTAAAGACGGCCGATTCTTTGCTCCAGGAAAGTAATTCAAGGGACCAAATTCTCAACGTTGCAGACCTGCAGGTCTTTTTCATTTATAATTTAGTCCTCCGCTTTTGGTGTAAGGGTCTTAAGCTTACTGTTTACCTTTTTATTTGTCAAAAAGAAGGCAAAATCTTACTTTATTATGCTTGTAAATCTAGAAGGAAGAACAAAATTTAATTCCTAAACTTACGGCTAGTCCCAGTAAAACTAAGGAAGAGATTTCGTCGGAGACCGGACAGAGCTGTCGAAGAAAATTGATAGTAGGCCTCACTATACTAAAGTGTATCATGTTTGGAGTGCCTTCTTTTTGTTAGGTTGAGGAGTTGTGCTACACAGAGGGCAGCTACGTTTCCGCCCTGGCAACCATGATCCAGATCTATGCTAAGCCCCTTCTAGGTCCCCTATATTTTTTCAAGAAGTTCCTCAATTTCTTTTTATTTCGTTCGGCCACTAAATTTTATGACATCTATTATTTTCAAAGCGCGTGCTGATTCGAGTCAGCCTTTGCTTTCAAAGTCGGAGGTAACTACCATTTTTCACGGGGTCGAAGATCTGCATAAAAGTCACGTTAAAGTCTACGCCGAAGTTATATAAATATTAGTTTTATACTCATCACCCCCTTGGCGTCTAAGTATATACTTAACTTCTCTCAATAGCTTAAAAGCAGGTTGGCCAACTGGAGGGATGAAACCTGCATTTCCGACATCTTTATGTCCATGGTAGTATTATTCAGACAAATTCTTACGGTGCGGGTAACTCTTTCCTAATTAAACCTTATAGAGTCCATTGTTTTCGATATATTTGGACTTTGTAAAGAACTATTCAAAAGCCCTAGAAACTCTTCGGACTAGAAGAAGACAAAATGTCCAGTTCGAAGAGTTTATTATGGTTTATTTTTTTGCTTTTCTTACCAGTTTCTTGCTTAGCCTCCCTATTAATTTCTAGGATATGCAGTCTACGTTGAAGGCAAACTATAAGCGATATGGGCTCTCAGACCTTCTGATCATGCCCATCCAGCGTATTCCCCGCTATTCTCTGCTACTACAGGTAGTTACATCGCCGCCAGCTGTGTCTAGTAGTCCGGCTGTTCTTCCAATTAGGCACTAAAGAAGAGCACGTCGCGGAGTCACCCTGACTACCAAGGCCTGACTTCCTCCATCGCCATCGTGGACGACATTGCAATGCAGGTTTAATCTTGTCTAAAGTGAGTTTATGTGATTAAAACAGTCAAACTTAGGTCAATGAAGGGCAACGTCACGCGGAAAATATGGAAGAGTTCTATAACTTGCTTCAGAGAATTAAAGGCGAAGAGGTGTGTTCGGCGCCGTTTTTTCTGTAGACTATTTTTTTACTGCTTTCCAGCATCCTGAGGTGGAGGGGAGGGAATTTGTCATGATGGACAAGGTGGTCGAGCTGTACGATAGCTATAAATTGAGGCGCTGGGTCTACTTGGTCCTCTTTAAGGACTTCCTCTTATGTACCAAGGTAGAGAAGTTTGTTTAAAAGGTCGAAGGCAGGCGAGCCATTTATTTTCATAAGTTTGCTAAGAAAAACGGAATGGTTAAACTATTATGGCAGACTCCGCTGTACATGGTCACTTGCAGTAGAGAAGGCTATGATGTGCCTCTGGACAAGAGTACATCTCAGCATACAAAACTTATTTCAAATTATATGCATGGCTAGCAATATTCTTTTCTATTGACCACTGTTGACACTCATAGAGGCCATATACTCTCTTCAGTCCCTTGTAGCGGCCAAGCAATTGGATTTAACACCGGCACTTACAAAAAAAAAACAACTAAAGAGCGCAAGGTATACTTTTCTTACACTCCATTGTTGCGGGATGCTCTTAATCATTAGAACTTTTCCTTTGTTGCTTCATTGCACTGCTTTCGCTTAACAAGTCTTCAAAAATGCCGGAAAGAGCTCATGGAATACAAAGAAGAATTAGCTAAGATGTCATGCACTTGTCTTCTAGCCATTCACCTAGTAAATCTGAAATGAACTTGCATAAGGCATCCCCTTTACTTCTTCATATAGTCCTTCGCAAAAAAATTGAAATCCTACTTGCTACTGTTTCAAACCGATCAGGACTGCAACCTGTGGTACATTACTTTTGTGTTAAACCCCTAGGTTCCGTTATATTTGCTTTAAACGCATCAGGTTCCATAGGCTAAACGAGTGTATTTTGAGAGTCCAGGAAGGAACAAGCTCCTCTAATTTTCCCGCTCCCTGCAACCTAGAAGTTCCCGACGACTCTTCCGTTGTCAGCTCCTTTGGGGAGACAGTTACTTCGGGTCACAGGTGCTTGTATCCTTCAATTCACACGTGATTTTAAGAAACACCTTCATTCTAGCCATAAATCCAGCATCACAAGCTTTAAAGGCTTACAGCTGTATTTTAAAACCAACGAAAAATTAAGAAGTCAAAGGAAACTTCTCTTCTCTGGCTTTATAGTTATAAGTATTATACAGTTAATATCCATTATGAGAACATCTGACGCTACTCAATTTACTGTGTTTTTTGTAATACAGGGCATCGCTCGCAGTTTCTTGGAAGAACACTTCTATAGCAGTTGAGGCTGTTAGGTACTGACTCGTTAATGAACACTTTGCAGAATTACTCTAGCCTCCTTTATTTTAGTCTGAGCAGCGGAGGGATAAATGAAGTAAGGCGGCTATTCCAGACCCCCACGTCAACCTCCAGAAAACCCACGTGGGGTTGCACCAGCACGGTAGAGCTTTCAAACTGCCTGGCACTGCGGTTTGTATGCCTATCAGAGGTTCTGGACAAGCAAGAAGTTATTGTCGGCAGCTCTCTTATACTTACTGAGGAAGTAAGCCGTGCATTTCTCTTCTTTATTCGAGAATCGAAGACCATTTTAAATCGCAAAACCCCAGCTATCTGGTAACGTTGAACAAAATTTAAATCTGAGCATGCAAGCATCAGGCACCCTTGAAGTTGTGTTACTTGTAGAGCAAGTTTAAACATAAATACGTTCAAACTTAAATTTATTTTAACTAAATATCTAATTTTAAGATAAAAATTTATAAAAGACCGAGACTTAAAAATATACTAAATTTCAACTTTATTTTTTCTTAAGGGCCAATCTATATATTTAAGGATAGCTATTTTTTTAGTAGCGAATAAAAACATAATGACTGAAACGGTTTTCTTTATAGATCATGTGTTAAGTTTTAGATTCAGCTGAGCGCAAGCATGGACACTCTCACGGTGTTCAACATATGCAAAGCCTCAGGTCATTTTAGCCCACTGCAAATAAATCAGAATATTTATTGCAAAGTTACCGGGAAACCCTATTTTACCTCTTCATACTGCTCCTCGACCTTCTCAATATTATTATATGCTTCGACTGCAATATCTAATATGCTTGCTGCTTCTTTCTGAGTGCTTGTATTGAAAAGATATATAAGATCAAAATCTTGCAATTAAATAAGGCAGAAGTATGTATATAAAAGGGGCGAGTTGTGAAAAGTAAGTAAAAGGCGCGTGGTTTGGCACTCGCTTATTGTGAAGTGCGCGGCCTATATATATTTCTAGTAAAAACTTTGCACAGATAAAAGAACGTTAACACGTAACTTTTTTTTTATGTAGTTAGGTATTAACAAAATCATTATAAAGGCAAGTTATAAGGCGAGAACTTTACAACTTCGGAGATAATTTTAAACTTTTGATTACGTTGTAACTTGAGTATTTCTATAAGAGTTTCTCGCGCCTGGAAAAAATATAAAAGTTGGTTAAAAGTCCGGGGTAAGTTTTTTATTAGTTGTGTGCGCAAGGTATAGCCGTCAAGAAAATTATAATTTATCAATAGTGCAACTGAATACTTGTTAACATAGTGGTATGCAAAGTAAAATTTTTATTTTTTAAATTATAAATATAACTGAATTAGGTCATGACCCTAAAGAGTATTTACTTATTTCAAGAATAGGTTAAAGATGTAATTAAGATACCTGGTGAGGTCGAATGACGTTTACTGTAGCATAGATATGATCCAACAAATCTTGAACAACCAGTACTGGCCCTAGAAACTAGATTTTTTTAAAAAGGAAATTAATTATTATTAAACTATAAAAAGATATAAGCATGTTAACCTTATCAGGACTTTTAGAAAGTATTTTTAACAATTTTAAATATTCAATAAGGACGCTTAAAGTCGATTTTTTAATTTCAGCCGAGTAACTCACTTATAAGCTAAAAAAAAGTCTGAAGATACCAAAAGAACTATGAAAAACCAGCTTCGTGAGGGGGAGGAAGCCGTAAATTATTTTCTTTGAAACTAATACTTTCCCAGGGGAGGCGTGTGCTATTACTGTACACAAAATTTTCCCTCTCATTACCTTTATATAAGCGTCAGACAGATATAAATTATTTGTAGTTATAGACAACTTAAAGTATTAATTATTTACCTGTTTTACTTGAGTAAAGATACCCGAAAACCTTAAAGGACTTAGGAATTTTAGGGGGAAGCAAACAATCGCTTTTTAGTTCTAAAAAAGTTAAGAGCTTAGTCCATTACAGAACCATATAATGAAACAATTTATCAAAACACCTGAAATGGACAAAGAAAATTCGGTTTTCGCTTCATCATAGGACTCATATAAATGATAGTATTTGGGAGGTTGCAAAAAGCTTTTAACTAAATACTCCCTTGAGTCCGACCCCATGGATTAGTTCCACTTTTTGACTCATACCTTGGGGTACCACCTCTCATATATGCTTAAATATATGTATTTAAGAGTGGTCTCTAATAAGGCCCCCGAGGATGGGTCGTCCCCATGTATGGTTAATGTTTCGCTTGGCTTTGAGCTCCTGCTCATTAATCCTGGTATGGAAAGGGCCCAATGCTTAATAATATGTACTTAACCTAAGTTTCTTTTAGTTAATGGCTCTAACATAAAATTAAAGAAAAGGGCATGAAACAACAGTTGAATCGGACAATACCCTCTTTAAATAATTAGGCTAATATTGAGCAGGAAGAGAGGTCGTTTGTCACTAATTCGGCTAGTCGTATGGTAAAGAAATTAACTGCCGGTTCAATCACGTTGCTTTTGATTCTTATTTAAAGCCAGAACAAGTATTTAAAATGAAGGTGGTGTTTAATTTATCGTATGAGAAATAAGCTGTTGCACACCACGAACCCGGTCGAATTCACGTCGCGTAAAGGAATAAATGGTAGCTTACTAAGGCCTGCTCCCCGAAGACTAAGTACATTGGGTTTTTTAGTTTAGTTTAAAATTGATGATAGCTTCCAAACGTTTAGCACAAGTTATTTGCAATATTAGAATTAGTTAGACACTACCCCCCTATTTAATTTAACTGTCTAAGCCCGGTTCAAATACAGCTAGACAACCTAAAGTTTGCAAAACTGCTAAAAGTTGTGACCCACAACAAAAGAACTGTGTCACCATTATATTAGTCGGTAGAGCGCTACTTCGAATGTAGTACAGTATAGTCCTAAGTCCTGTTGGCAAATGTTGTTTTTACTTAACACCAAACCGTTGACAACTAAGTAATATTTTGTAGGGGTGTACCTCTTGTAATATGAACGTTGACAGTCTTAGAAGCGCCTTCTTTCTATCTGAAAGTTATTATAGCAAGGATATTGTGTACTTTATACTATATTAAAGAATAGGGACGCCCTTCCTATATAAAATTGTAGGTGTGTGTGGTTCTCGTTGTTAAATTGGTGGAACTTCTGCCTTATTAATTATTCTTGGCAAAGTTTAATAAAATCATGGAAAATCATCGTGAGAACTAGCAAAAGTTTATTCAACAGCGCTGTAGTTGGGTCTCAGCTACTTAATTACCTGCTGATAAGAGACTGATAGGTTCATAATAGTGGGAAATGGAAACTGGAGGCGTTGCTCAAAGCAGATAGCGTACAATATTGCGAAATTTATAGTAGAATGGTATAGACCTTAAAAGCCTTATAACCTACGGGATGTTGCAGGTCTTCGTTGGTTACATTGTTTTAAGGGGTAACAAAATTATTTTATAAATAAAATATATAAATATAATAAAATACGCGACAAGGAATAATAGAACAAAGGTTGAGGGCTTGATTTTATTTTATTTTACATTTTTTTGTTACCTGACCTACCCTATAGAAGAGCCTAATATACTAATTAATCTGGTCTAAGCGGCCGCGAGATGTCCACCTAGAGGGGGCTTGCACTGTGGTATTATACTAAATAAATGGATTCGAAAAACCAATCAACTGCTTTGTTATTTTAATTAAATAATTTGTTACTTTAGTAATTTTTCTTATTAAAGTGGTTGTGTTCCTGTGTGCGCCCAAAAGAAAAGTCATTTATGCCTTTAATAAATTAAAAGACAGTTTTAAAATGTGAAAAGAAACCAATGTATTTCAGTGTAATGTAGTATGTTCTGCAGACAATCACGTATTTATCGTTTATAACTATTGAATAAGGTTTAAAGTTTTTCGTACATTCGTTTGCTGTGGTTTAGATGAAAAGTTATTAGTCATAGAAGATTAAATCTTACACCCTAAAAGGTGACGTCACTTCTATGATTGGCTGCGCGAAACGTATACAACTTTGTTACATATGAAAAAAGTAAAGGGAATAGAAGTCTAGAAGAAAAACAAGACAACAAACTAGAAAAAAGACAGAGCGGGACAGCAGAACGACGAGAACAATTGAACTGGACGGAGCCCGCAGCAAGAGAGGGCCCCCAGACATGAAGGAAATAAACGTGCAAACATGTACATATTTGTAAAACGATTGACCAAAAATGGTAGCTAATCGCCTGCATTAATTTGAGTGCTACGAGAGAGCGTAGAAACCGCATTTCACATTAAAAGGTTGCATTTCCTTATTTTTCCAAAAACTTATCTGTTAAATAAGATCTTCTTTTGCGTTCTTTTTTGACTCCGAAAGTCGGTAAATCTATTCGTGGGCCTCTTTGTCGTCAACCCTCCATTGAGAGGTCGACTGCGCTACGGTTTAGTAAAACAAAAAAATATTTAAAATAATTTAAAAACGGGAAGAGGCCTAAAGTTTCTTTGTCTATTTATTTATAAATAACTCGTCCTGGTTGAGAGCTTCATTGAAGCTCATGTTTTCTTCTCTGGACATCTTTCTCATCCCAGGATAAGAGTCGAAGGTAGCCACTCGTCTTTGGCCTAAAAAACCGTTACAAACAAATTCGAGCATGGTGACTGTCGTTATATTTGCTAAGAGTTAACCTAATATCGTCTGTAGGCGTTGTGTCCGCTGATGCCAATTAACTATTTTAGTAGGAGCTAGGGCCCGGGATTACGGAAGTATGTGTAACGGGCGCTGGTAAAGTTGATTGGCTGCATTCCGAAGATAGTATTTGCAGCCATAATTAACTGCGGCTCCCCACAAATAAAGCCAATGTAAAGTCTACCGTGTTTTTGAGCATAGGGCGGTCAAATGGCCTTGGTCGCATTTGACACAGTGTGGGGCTGCAGGACACTGTGAACAAAGATGTGGCAACAATGGATTGACCAACCCAATTAAAATTTCCAAGTTGTTTTACTTTTATTTAAAGATAAGAGACACTTTTCAGTTCCAACAGCTTTTGTCGTTCTGTTTTGGGTATATACACCAGCACTAATGGTAATGAACGCTTCTTTCGTTCACCATTAACAAAGTCCATCGTGTGCATTTGTGCCGGTCGGATGGGTCTGAAGTTATATGCGCGCAGGTTACTTCGACGTGGAAAACATCGAGTTCACAATAAATTCCAGGTATAACAAATTAAAAATAGTCTTGTTTCCAGGTTAGTTGTTCTAACTCCCGAGTATTCATGGCCCCTTTGATAGCGCCTTGTTCTTCAGTTGTTATCAAAAATATTTTGATTATAAGACGCCTACATTTCGGCCTCGGAATCTTTGCGCCGTAGGTTTGCAAAAATGTATAAAATAGAGGCCACCTATGTTTTTCACAGGGGGTACTGATGTGGTCTTCTCAGCCTGGCTACCGCAGTAAATGGCGGCTCATTTATAATTGGAACAGTACCGGGAGCAATGACCACATCACTATATCTACAGTGTCCTGTAAAGCTTTTAAGGACCTCTTAGCCTCCTCCAATAACTTTAAAGAGTCGTAATTTTAATTAGTACTATAATTGTTTTTATTACAAGTATTACTGCAAATATTTTGTTACATCTCTATTAATAGATAATTAAATGGAGAGAATAAAATTAATAAAAACCTAAATAATAGTAAAAATAATAAAAATACTAACAAACTATAATTATATGAATCATGATACATTTTCCTAAAATTCACAAGTTTTGGAAATAAAAAATTTTTCCCATTTATTTTGTATATTTTAATTTAAATTTGTTCAGGGAAGGCTAGGTTTCTAATTGTACTAGATTTATAGAGTTCTTATAACGGATTATCCTGGTAATGTGCTTCTTGTGAGGGATAGATATAGAAGTAATGAATTAAAGTATACACTTGTTCGCATGATTCGTTCGCTAATTCGTAATAGTCTTGATAGTTGTTCTGTGAGCAGCCATTTTAAAAAAATTATTGTGTTTCATGTCTTTGTTCTGTTCTTCTTTCCGAGCTCAGATTAATTTTGAATATACAGTTGATCATTTTAGAAAGTGTTTAATTGCCCGTTTGCTTATACTGTGGACAATCAGTGGCGTGGTAAATTTAGATTCCTAATGTGATATAAAGTTGAATGGTAAACGGTTAATAGCTTACTTAATTTCACTATTTTTCTTTTATCAGCTGTAGCAACGTGTAGGCCGTGAAGGTGGAAAAGTTCACACGTTTTTTAGTTGTTTTGCCATTTTTTTTATTGTTTTTTGTGTTGGGCCCCCAAACATAACTTCGCATCGTTTGTTGCGATTTAAGTGCTTGAGAGTGTGTAGCTGACTTCTATTTTTTTTGCTTTTATCATGTACATATAAATTAAAATTCATTCGGTATAGGCCGTAGCGTTTGACTCTCTTTTTTCGTCTTGTACCTTTTTTCTTAATGGTTGATCTATACGCCCCATTAAGCTTTCCCGCTGATTAAAAAATAAATTTTGGTTTTTGATTTATAAATGCTACTTTTTGCTCTAATATTTTAAAAATCTAGTTTTCTTGGAAGCGATTAATATAAGTAGTAAATTGTTATTGTACTATAAAAATGCGGCTTCGTTTTCTGCTAAAGTAAAAAAGTCATTGCTCATTACTACCCCACCGGTAAAAAAGAACTGGATTAGGTTAATGTTAAAATTTATCTTAATTCTAATGTAATCTGATATGAGTGACAGGTTTAATTATATTCTTGTTGATCTTGAATACTAATTTAGTACGAGTTTTAAATGGTTTTACCTAACATGAGGTATACCCGGTTCTTTACAAAGGAGAATTCTTCATTAAAATTCTTTTGGAATAAGGAAAAAATAATTCCTTAGATTTGGAAATTTATTATACCACTCTCTCTTTGTAAGGAACTGAGGTGTCATTAAAACGACGCCTTATGAGATTAGTTTAATAATTATAACTGTATTACTCGCTAATATACACAAAGAGCACAACATTTACCTGCTGCCCACTAACACATAACATGGAGGCTTTTGCAGAGAGATGAATTACACCTTAACGACAACAAGTGTTATGAAACATTCTCAACATTCTAGACCTTCCGTGAAATTACACCAGAAAAAA